TCTTTGCCTTCAGTTAATCTTTAGTGTTACAAGAAGTCTTGTTGGTCTCTCGCTCATCTGTGTCCCACATTTCAAGGGGGTGGCAGTCTGGGGAGTTAGGTGGCCAGATGTAAAGGCTGATGTGGTCACAGAAATTGTCTGGCAGCCATGACTGAGTTCTCTTGCTTGTGTGGCATGGTGCAGAGTCCTGTTGCCAGACATAAGGTCTTCTAGCAGACACCCTTTTGACCCAGGGCATTAGATTGCTCCAACTCTTTCCAAATCCTCTGCAAACACACTATAATGTTCACATTCGAATTGTGCCATGGTACTCATTTTCTCACAGACGGGGCCCAACTGAGCCTACTATACTGTGCAGTCAACAAAAACAAACAACGTACATATACGAAATTAAAGATATAAACTGGCGACAATTTACCCATCGCAACCTGCACACACACATATATATATATATATATATATATATATATATACTCGACTCTCCCGTTGAATTCGATGTATGAGGGTCAAGCAGATCAGTTCCTAGAAAACCGACAGCCTGACAACAGCACATGAGATTTGATTATAGTGGTGAAGGTTTCGTGCAGGACCATCCACACTTTTTTATGGAGGCACGGTGGAGTAATGGATAGTGGCTCGGACTGAGGAATCGGAGAGCCAAGTTCAAATTCCAGTTGGATCCATTAGATTCCTTATGTGCTAATACCCTTGGAAAAGGTGTGAATCCTCTTCTTCTCCCTCCAGCTATAATTAAATAGCAGGACAGACTGTGTTCTATAGCCTTGGAAGGCAACTAGTCTAGGAGAAGGACAACTCTGAATTCAAAACCTGCAGAGGGTTGTTTGGGGACTTTGTGGCACGTAGTGCACCAGGTCTCTGTATTCGGCCCTTCATATATATATATATATATATATATAATATATATGAGTAATACACACACACATAATAAATCAATCAACAAGCAAAAAAGGTTCTCACATAATTTAAAAAAATATGTGCTTTCATTTTGGAGGGGTTAAAAGTAACGAGCCATTCCTTGCCCCAGTTAATCTGTTAACTGCGGCAAGGAATGGCTTGTTAATTTTAATATGTTCATGAGACCTTCAATAAATACTACTCTTTAGGCCCAATGTGTTTTTCTATTACTGAGTTTATGAGTCCTTTAATAAGAACTTCTCGAGAAACAATGTGTGTTTTAAACACAAAGTAAATTCTTCTAAAGGGTGGAACAAAAATATCCCAACTGGATTATTATGTGACAAACAAGTGGGATTACTTACACAAAATTAGCAACCGGTATTATGAGCATGTATTTTCTTGGGACATATATTTCTCCCATTAGATTAAATATTGCAGAATTATAATTTGGGCGTTTTGGTATAAAACAGTAAAAATGAGTTGAAAGAAATAAAACTCCAAAATGCGTAATAATCAAAATTTTACAACTGGACATACACGTTGCAGCAAAAGTAACACCACTTTTATTTATTGTTTACTTTTTTATTAATTAACCAAAAGTAAATTAGAGTAGCTTAAGATGGCTTCAGATTAACGATGGCTTTCAGGAATGGTTAAATCGTAATTTCAAGCTGTGGTGGATTGAACAATGTGGAGCATTTGCATGGCCATCTTGATCACCAGACCTTAACACCAAACTTTTTCTTTTGGGATGTACTGAAAGAGCTTGTTTACAGTATTATCTCCAGGGTGACGTAAAGTATTTTTATCTTTATTCTGGGGCTGTCCCATTCTTGAAATGGTTGGAATCAAACACTAATAATCTGAAAAGAATTTAACAAAATGAAATAAAAGATTGATTCAATTTTTTTTTTTTTATTTCAAAGCCCATTTCATAATATACAGGGTGCAGCAAAAGTAACACTTTTTTTTTTTTTTTTTTTTTTTTTTTTGAGTTAAGGTGGATAGAATGATGTGGAGCATTTCACTGGCCATCAAAATCACCAAACCTAACATCACCATACTTTTTCTTGTGGAGGTGTACTAAAAGATTTTGTTTACAGGTTCAAACTGAAAACAGTTCCTGAATTAAAACAAGTGATTTCTGATAAATTTTCAGAAATTAATGTAGAAATGTGTCAAATGGTCTATAGAAGTGTTGCTGATAGTGTTCAGCATTGTATTAAACATGAAGGGGAGCATTGTGAACATGTTAAATAGTTTCTTAATCATAATAAATTATATTGAGATGTGACAATACTTTTATTGTCAATAATTTTCTTAAACTTCAGTAATTTATTTTTGTTCAATAAAAGTTAAGTAAGAAAATGTTACGTTTGGTGCACAAGGTTAGTTTTTATTCTAAACTAGTGTAAAAGTTGCCCTATTGGTCAGAATTTAAGCTAGCTCCTGTGTAAACTGTGTAAATGGATGGTGTTTTTTTTTTTCTTTCTTTTTCACAGAAAACAAAGCTCAAGAGTCATTCAATGTAGAGGTTACAGTCAAAATGGTAATGACAAACAAGACGGGTTATATGAATGATATATGGATAAGGAAGATAAGTGAAAATTGACCCTTGACTTGAGGGTAAGATTGTGATGTTCATGGAAGCATCCATGTGAGACACTGTTCCAACTAGTACTTGTTGGTAGAAAAAAATCTGTCTGAATAAAACTTTCTCCTTATATTTGAAATATGGAGGAAACGTGGAGAATTCAGCTCTGTGGAAGTGGCATGTCCTAGCTGTAATGTCTCTGAATATGTGATATAGAAATAGCAATAGACTAATGATAGGCTTTCAACATTGCATGGGTGGGGAAATAGGCAGCAGGATAGAAAATACCATCCCCTTCAAAACCACACAAATTATTTTGAATTCTATCAAGGCTGGAAAGTGAGGGTTGTGCAACTCTATTTTTGATCTCATCTGACTTTTGTAAAAAAAATAAATCATGGCAGGGAGAGTCTGGTATTTCTTAGAGCAATAGAATGAGTTGTTCATTTTCCAAGTAGCCTGAGCAAAGGATTGTATATATGAATTCCACTTGAGGTCTGGAGAGAACTTTAGATCTGAAAGACATTCAAAGCATGGCGTCTAATCAAGATTGGAATCGTTCATCACGACTGGAGACTTTTAACCTTATAAAACAATTGGATGTTCAATAATCAGAAAGGGTTAGGTACCATTCCTTGCAGCTAGTACCATGCAACAAAATAAAACCTGTTAGTTGGACAGGAAACAGGTGATGCCAAGTAACCCCATTACCCTGAGAGATGCCATGAAATGTTGGCAGAGGAGTCGATGCTTGATTAGCAAATGTCCACATCCATGTCCAATAATTATTCAAGCATGAATACATTTTTATTCCATATCTTCCTTCTCTCTCAATAGGAGTAGATAGGTTCGTCTATTTTCCAGTCCACACTCCTTGATTTTTGAACAGGAGTAGAGGTTTATCCCTTGTTTCCTGTTTAGGACTAGGTTTCTAGCTCCTTCTAAAATCTACTTCTGCACTATACTTGCAACATCACTGACTAAATTCTGATCCATTATTCATTAATTAAATCTTGGCATCTCCAAGTCTAGAATCAGTCGTTATCTTTCACATATAGCCCCCAAGAACTTCACTTCTTACCCTTTCTTACACTAATACAACACTACATAGTAACACTCTATCTTGAGTGCCTCTTGAGCCTTCTATTTTATGAACTTTATTAAAAAAAAAACTGCCATGACACAAACAAGAATGAGTAGAACTTTTCCTGGTTCTATCAGATTATTGGTCGGAACCAATAATAAATATCAAAGCCTGATTCTTGGATTCTGTTTCCCTTCACCTCACTTCAGCAAAAAAGACAGGTTATGGCACAATCTGATGTCTGATGCACCAAAATATTTCCAGATTACTCATCATGTGTTAGAACCCTACTAAAAAGATTATGGGTCATATTTATCCTCATGGGATGACAAATGATTAATAATGTAGTGGTAAGATTGGTGATGGGATTGTGTGCATAGGAGACTTCTCACAGACATATGAGTGAAATCTATTAACATAAGTAGAATTTGAAGCCTGTCTGCAGATTCCATTTTCTGTATCTTCTGTCACTCAAACAAATTTATACCAATATTTAGATGCTAAAATATCCAAATAGCATGTTAAATAAAGGGTGTGATGGGTAAATTGTCGTCATTTTATATTTTTTAATTTGGTACCTGCCTGTTGTTCAATTTTGATTTTGTCGACTGCACAATACAGTAGGTTCAGTTGTGCACACTCTAACAAAATGAGCACCATGATGCAATTCACTCCACCAGAAATTTGAAAATGGCATGCTGTACTGCTTGGCATTCCTGCCAGAAACTTCAATACAAACATTTCAAAGTGTTTGGGAGTCAATCTGAGTGCCATGCAAAGGATTTGGAGAGAGATTTGGATTATATATCCAGTCAACATGATGGTGTTTGGAGTGATCCCTAGTGATGAAGTTATGCCTCCATTCATCTTTCCAGAGGGACTCGGAACTCATTGCGGAGGCCTACATCAAGTGCTTTGAAGAGGCAATGCTGGCTTGGGTAAAGAGGGTGTTGGAAGAGCCTGTGTCTGGCAACTGGAGTCTACACCATGCCACACAAGTAGGAGAACCCAATTATGGCTGGCAGACATTTTCTGGGACCACATCACCCCTTACATCTGGCCACCTACCTCTCCAAACTGCAACCCCCTTGATTATTATATGTGGGGTGTACCAGAAACTCCAATATGAACATTTCAGAGTGTTTGGTGTCAACCTGAGGACAGTGCAGAGTTTTTCTCTAAAATTTTTAAACCATTTCTTAATAAAAAAAAAAAAAAAATTTCCCTTTAGTTTAATTTTAACAAATGACATTAGCATGATATGAATGCCCCCCCCCACAAGATACATTTTATTTTTTAGTAATTAAACTTTGACAAATAACATTTGGATGAAGTCTTTCTTCTTAGTAAATCCATACAAATGAAAGAAAAAATTGCATCATTATTACTAAGTTCTTATCTTTCATGCTTTCAATCTATATCAGATTGACCTGTCTGCGTTGGCTCAGTTTAAATTTGCTTTTTCATATGTTTTCTTATTATACGTCTTTTTTCGTTCTCATTTTGTGCTTCTTTCTTTACGTTCTAAACTTATTTTTCACTTTCTTTTCATTCTCAACCTTTTCTCTCTCTCTTTTGCCTTTCCCAGTCATTTCTCTCTTTCTTTTCTTAAGCTTTTTCTCTTTTTCTTTTCTTCCCCAATCTTTTCTTGCTTTCTTTTTTTCTTGGCCTTTTCTCTCTCAGCCTTCTCTCTTTCTCTCACTCTCGCTTCTTTCTCAACCTTTTTCTCTCTCTCTCTCTCTCTCTCTCTCTCTCTCTCTCTTTTCTCTCTCTCTCTCTTTCTCTCATTCTTTTCTTTTGCAACCTTTTTTTTCTCTCTCTCTCTCTCTCTCTCTTTCTCTGGGCCTCTCTCTCTCTCTGTGGGTCTTTTCTCTCTCTTTTGACTTTCCCAGTCATTTCTCTCTCTCTTTTCTTACTCAAGCTTTTCTCTTTCAATCTTATCTTGCTTTCTTTTCTGTCTCGGCCGTTTCCCTCTCTTTTCTCTTTACTTTTCCAGCCATATCACCTCTCTCTCTCTCTCTCTCTCTCTCTTTACTTTCCAAGCCATATCTCTCTCTCTTTACTTTTCAAGCCATATATCTCTCTCTCTTTACTTTTCAAGCCATATATCTCTCTCTCTTTACTTTCCAAGCCATATCTCTCTCTCTCTTTACTTTCCAAGCCATATCTCTCTCTCTCTTTACTTTCCAAGCCATATCTCTCTCTTTGCTTTCCAAGCCATATCTCTCTCTCTCTTTCTCTCTTTCCAAAAGCCATATCTCTCTCTCTTTTACTTTTCAAGCCATATCTCTCTCTCTTTTACTTTTTCAAGCCATATCTCTCTCTCTCTTTCTCTTTTCAAGCCATATCTCTCTCTCTCTTTACTTTCCAAGCCATATCTCTCTCTCTCTTTACTTTCCAAGCCATATCTCTCTCTCTTTACTTTCCAAGCCATATCTCTCTCTCTCTTTACTTTCCCAGCCATATCTCTCTCTCTCTCTTTACTTTCCCAGCCATATCTCTCTCTCTCTCTTTACTTTCCCAGCCATATCTCTCTCTCTCTTTACTTTCCCACTCTTCCTCTCCATTGCTCTCCATATCTCTCTCTTTACTTTCCCAGCCATATCTCTCTCTCTCTCTCTCTTTCCCAGCCATATCTCTCTCTCTCTCTCTCTCTTTACTTTCCCAGCCATATCTCTCTCTCTTTTACTTTCCCAGCCATATCTCTCTCTCTCTCTTTACTTTCCCAGCCATATCTCTCTCTCTCTCTTTACTTTCCCAGCCATATCTCTCTCTCTCTCTCTTTACTTTCCCAGCCATATCTCTCTCTCTCTCTCTTTACTTTCCGAGCCATATCTCTCTCTCTCTCTCTTTACTTTCCTAGAAACATATCTCTCTCTCTCTCTTTGCTTTCCGAGCCATATCTCTCTCTCTCTCTTTTACTTTCCGAGCCATATCTCTCTCTCTCTCTCTCTCTCTACTTTCCGAGCCATTTTCTCTCTCTCTCTCTCTCTCTTTACTTTCCCAGCCACTTCTCTCTCTCTCTCTCTCTCTCTCTCTTTACTTTTCCAGCCATTTCTCTCTATATACCTTTTTTTGCATCCTTTTCCTTCTTACTTTTCTTTCTCTGCCTTCTTTTTTTATTTTCCAAGTCTTTTCTCTTTTTCTTTTCTATTTCAGTCCTTTTTCTCTTTTATTTTCTAACCCTGTTTTCTTTTTCTTTTTTTTCTTTTTCAGCCATTTTTCCCCCCTATTTTTCAGACATTTTCTTTCTTTTTCAGCCCTTTTTCTCTCTTCCGTTTTCAGCCCTTTTTATTTTCTCCCTTTTCTCTTTTTTTTTCTTTTCATTTCCATCCCTTTTTCTTTTCCAGACCACTTTTTCTCTTTCTTTATATTTGCAGCCTTTTCCTCCATTTTCCCCTCCCTGATTACTTTCTAATTTCATTTTTTTCTTTTAATTATCTTTTAATTCTCCTTTCTTTTTTCCAGCATATTTTTTTCCATTTATTCAATCACTTTTTTACCGATTGTTACTTCTCCATCCCCTCCTGATATAAAGGTATACAGAATTGTTTTTACATAAAACCACTTCATTCCCTGTAATGGTGCTACTTCAACCAAAGTTATTCATCCCCCACTCCAACCACCAAAGACTTTTAAAAGCTTTGACCTAACAACATTTACATTGTCCTCCATCTTGTTTGCTTAGTCTGTTAATGATAAAGGACTTTGTTGTTGTTTTTTATTTCTCTCTTACTCTGTCATTAAAACTAACAAACAACTTATTCATATATTTATCTTCTCCATCTATATCATTAGTAAATAAGACAAGAATGTAAACAAATATATCTGACCACCAACCCTACCCACCTGATATTCATATTTATATATTTCAGTGGCCATCTCTTTTCTTTCTTTCTTTCTTTTTACCATTCTTTCTTTCTCTCTTTCTATGTTCATGTTATCTATGTTCATGTTACCTGTCTATCTATGTTCATGTTATCTATCTATCTTTGTTTATGGTTAGTATCATCTATCTATCTATCTGTTCATGGTATCTATCACACATTACTCTTCTTCTGAAACATCTGTTCATTTTATTTCTCAACATGTCCCTCCTTACCATGGAACCTTCTAGAAAAAAAAACTATCAATTGCTTTTTCACTACTTTTGAACTCTTCCGGTGTACTGTATAAAGAGACTAGATTTCAGTCTTTACAGAAGAAAAACAGATAATTAACAAATTTATGCTTTCTGAACCTAATACTAATCTACTGAGTAGTACTTCAGCTAAAAAATACAAATTTCTTTGTTTTTACTTCTACATTTATAGTCTTCTTCTATGTGACTTGGACGAAGGTGATCATGGTTCTCCACAACATCCTGTTCCTTGTAGCTCTTAGCAATGTTTGCCTTTTTGCTATCTAATCTTTCTTCTGCCAACCATTAGCACAAGCTCATTAAACAGGTTATTTTCTGCTTTTCTCTGTCCCTTTTGCCTTCAACATGTGAGTATTAAATTTTTCAAGCCCTCTTTCCTCAATTTCCTAGAAATTTTCAATTGCCTCTTTAAGTATAAATGTCCTTTTCATCGACATTTTCTCTAAACTTTCATTGTTGCTCAGATGTTCATATTCTCAGCATCCTTCTATAAAACCATATTTCTCTTACCTCAAGTCTCTTCTTCATCTGTGTCCAGCATCCACTGCCATATATGAGGATTGATATTACATAACAGATCAGTACTATTTTTTTTTTTTTTTTTTAACAATTTTTTTCTATTTCTTAATACTTTGCTTAGCTTTTGGAAAGGTTCTTTCACTATCCCAATGCACCTTCAGATTTCAATGTTGCCCTTTCTATCCTTTGTTAAAACACTTCTCAGATATTTAAGTTGCTGTACTTGTTTGATTTCGGTATCTCCAATCTGTAATTTGCATTTTGGGCTGCCCCTTTTGCTAACAGCCATGCATTCTTTCTTCTTACAATCGATGATTAGTCCTTTCTTCTCACTTTTTGCTACCTTCTGTAGGAGTTCTTGTAGCTTCCTTTCTATGTCTACTATCAATACTGTGTCATCTGCATATCTTACGTTGTTAAGATTGTGGCCGCCAATGATTTCTAATTCTATCAGAATTGCCTTACTGTATAAATTAAATAAGTCCAGTGAGAAGACACATCCCTGTCTTACACCGCATTCAATTTTTGTATGTGTACTGAACTCATTTCAGGCAGTTTACTGTCAGTATAGGTTCTTGATTATTCTATTATCCTTCCCAAATATATTATGGTTACCTAGTAGTTCCAACAGTTCATTGAGATCATTATCACTTTTGCACAATCATTAGAATATAGGTACACCTCCTTCTGCATCTGTATTGCTCTTTCTGATATTATTCTGAGTATAAATATTACATTTATTGTTCCAGTGTCTTTAACAAACCCGCACTGTTCTTGTCCTATCTCTGGCACAATTCTGCTACATGTGTTTTATTATAAGGCTAATCAGTTAATGGAGGTCACATTCGTTTGCACCTGCCTTTTCAGACAGTACTATGAAAATCTATCAACTTGGGTCATCCGGTATATCACCACTGTTATATATTTCATTTACTATATCTGTTTAATCTTGTCAATGCTGAAATCATCTAAGGCTGCCAGTATCTCTATTTTGTTTCTGTCTGGCTCTATCACTTAGTTTCTGTTCAATTGGTCAAGTGCAGCACTCACTTTGGTTTTTAATATTTCTGATCAGTCAGTATTTTTGTGTATTGCTAGTTGATCTCTTGTCGAAGAGTTCTTTGGGGTATTTTTTCTTTTGCTAATATCAGTGTCCCTTCCTTGGATTTAATGTGTCCTGTTGATGAGCATATGTTTTATCCTGTTAATTCTCTTTGTAATTCTGTACATTTTTCGTTGAGCCATTCCGCTTTAGCCTGCCTGCATTTGTTTGTAATTTCTTTGTGCAGAGTCCTATATTCTGTGCCATAACTTGGCCTTGTTATTTGTCTCATTTTCATCATGTTGAGAATTTCCATCTATCATCCATTCTTTTTTCCTTTGTCTATTTTTCTTTGGGATGTGCGGGTGGCTTAATGGATAATGGCAAGTTTAAATTCCAGTTGTGTTTGTTATATTGTAAATGCCAATGGGAAAGGTCTCCCCCACATACTGCAACTATGAGTTAATTAGTAAGACTTGTATCACTAAACCATTATTATCTCCAAAAATATTTTTACAATCTAAAAATATTTTCTGGCTTTAAATAACCTGCAATGGGTTTATAAGCTGTAAAAAAAAATCAATCAATGTTCCAATAAGTTCTATTCTTTAGTTCCACCAGTTCAGACCTTTACAGCTAAGCCCTGCCATACTACATCACTCTTGCTCTCTTCATATTCTGTTTGTTAGAAGCAAATTCCACTCAGTGAGTTTTTTCTCAAGAATTTCAATTTGTGGAACAAACTCCGACATGGATACTTTCCCAAATACTACAATCTTAACATCTGCAATTTCAGGGTCAATTGTTGTCTATCTTCCATATTGTCATAATCATCACTTTCTATTTTCTCCTCTTACCACTCACTTCATTCAGTTGCCCTTGACCTTGGTTGGCTCTTGAGCTTTATAGCAGGTGAATATTAGTAAAAAAAAAAAAAAAGAGAAAATTCAAGAGACATTTAACAGAATCTACTTTTAAGTATATTTGCTCTTAAAATTTGTGACTATTATCAACTAAAACTGAATTGTTTATTTCTAGAGTTTGGCTGTAGATAACAGAGGCCATCAAAATTGGGGGAAAGCAAAACTTCAGATCAGTAGGGACCAGTGTATATAGGTTTGCTTGTAGTAGCCCAGGGAATGAGATACTTGAACCCTGTTTGAATTCTGCATATAGCTGTTGATGTAAATTCTGTGAAAATGTCCACTGTTTCCCCACTCTCTTGCTTCCTGTCCCACTGCTGGACATCTTGGTTTTCACTGACCACAATGCTTTAAATGAAGAGGTGGGTTGGTGTTAATGCTGTTGTGAAACTCGTTTACAAAAGCCTCGGGCTTTCAAAATGAGGATTGGTACTGTACACAGAAACGAATCATTGTTCACTAGTGCACATCTATCCAAGTCTGTTCATACCAATCGATTGCAGTCAAAACATTCCTCTATCTTGTCATTTATTTTATTTCTATTCATGCTTATCTTTCTCAGACTATTCATATCTATCAGCCTGTTTATCTTTCTCTCTCTCTCGGCCTATTCATCTCTCTCTCTCGGCCTATTCATCTCTCTCTCTCGGCCTATTCATATCTATCCCGGCCTATTCATTTCTATCTATCTATCCCGGCCTATTCATTTCTATCTATCTATCCCGGCCTATTCATTTCTATCTATCTATCTATCCCGGCCTATTCATTTCTATCTATCTATCTATCCCGGCCTATTCATTTCTATCTATCTATCTATCTAGGCCTATACATTTCTCTCTCTCTGGGCCTATACATTTCTCTCTCTCTTGGCCTATACATTTCTCTCTCTCTCTAGGCCTATACATTTCTCTCTCTCTCTAGGCCTATACATCTCTCTCTCTCTCTGGCCTATACATTTCTCTCTCTCTCTCTTGGCCTATACATTTCTCTCTCTCTCTCTCTTGGCCTATACATTTCTCTCTCTCTCTCTTGGCCTATACATTTCTCTCTCTCTCTCTTGGCCTATACATTTCTCTCTCTCTCTTAGCCTATACATTTTCTCTCTCTCTCTTGGCCTACACATTTCTCTCTCTCTCTCTTGGCCTCTTTGTTTCTCTCTCTCTCTCTTGGCCTATACATTTCTCTCTCTCTCTCTCTTGGCCTATACATTTCTCTCTCTCTCTCTCTCTCTCCTATATTCATGTCTCTCTCTCTCTCTCTCTCTCTCTCCAGCCTATTCATGTCTCTCTCTCTCTCTCTCTCGGCCTATTCATTTCTCTCTCTCTCTCTCTCTCAGCCTATTCATGTCTCTCTCTCTCTCTCTCTCAGCCTATTCATTTCTCTCTCTCTCTCTCTCAGCCTATTCATTTCTTTCTCTCTCTCTCTCTCTTTCTCTCTCTCTTTCTCTCTCTCTCTCTCTCTCTCCCTATTCATTTCTCTTTCTCTCTCTCTCTCTCTCTCTCTCTCGCAGCCTATTCATTTCTCCCTCTCTCTCTCTCTCTCGGCCTATTCATTTCTATCTATCTATCTATCACTGTCCAGGAGACATATGCTAATGAACTACTTCTTCAGTTGCCATTTCCTTGACTCCCATCTCAACCCCACTTTAATGACAGCCATTTCTTCTACCAAAATTACCAAAAGTGAAGTGGCTGGGGACAGAAGATGGCAGAAATCAGTCAAATGATCAAGATGGCTGCCACCGTCTTGGAGGCTGCCAGGAAGCAGTATGGCATGCTAATGACAAATGAGCA